AAATGGGGGGCAGCCGCATGCATCATGGACGTACGGGCGACGTCCATGACCATGCCAATGCGGCGCTCAGCAATCCCATTTTGCTGTGGAGAGTCCGGAAGCGTGAAGGTCTGGCGGATGCCTCGTGCACGACAGTAGGCTCGCAGAAGGCCAGAGGAGAACTCTCCGCCTCTGTCAGAGTGCAGACGCAGAACAGGAAAGTCCGAGCCGAAACTCGGACCAGTACCCCCACCCCGCTGGCGTGCAGCGTACCACTCACGAAGCTGCTGAGGGGGGGGGATCTCACGAGTGCGCTGCTGCTGCTGCTGCTGCTGCTGGCGCTGACCACCACCGGAGCCGACCCTCTGCGCAGCGCCACCCCGACCAGCTCCACCTCCTCCGCCGCCGCCTCCTCCACCGCCGCCACCTCCGCCACCTCCGCTCCCACCGCCACCGCCGCCGCCGCCTCCGCCTCCACTGCCGCCACTGACGCCCCCACCCCCGCCACCACCCCCACCGCCACCCCCACCCCCTCCGCCGCCTCCACCGCCGCCTCCACCGCCCCCGCTAGCTCCTCCAGCGCCCCTGCCCCCCTTGCCCTTGCCAGTGCGGCTTCTCCCGCTAGGGGCAGACGCCGCACCGACCGACTCAAGACCAACGAGGTCGGCCGCAGCAGCAGAGGCAACAGAGGGCAAGAGAGGAGAGGGGGAGCACCCCTCAAAGACAGGGGCACGAGGGTCACCACGAGAGGCTCCTACAGTGACTATGCTCTTCTCTGCTGCTAGGAGGCGCTCCTCGAGGAGGTCAACGGTGAGGGTGGTGGGGCAAACAGAGAGAAAGTGGTCCCTGTCCGGGCGAAGGGTGTCAGGGAGCCGGGTGACTACGTAGTAGAGGGTGATGTACATAGGGGGGGGGTTCTTGGCGCAGAACTCAGGAGGAAGGGCAGCGCGGTAGCGAGTGTCACTAGTGCGCAGGTGCGTAATGAGGTCAGCGACTGTGGGAAAAGCGGCGAGGTCAGGGAAGAGGTACGGCAGGATGAGGCGGCTAAGTGCAGCAGTGGCAGGGGAAGAGTAGCGTGCAACTACAGCGTCGTACAAGGTCTTAGCACTCTTGTACTGACTAAAGTGTGCACGCTCAGCGGTAGGCAAGTGGCGGCGCACAGCAAGACGGGCAGCAGCGTCGCGTGTGGCCCACTGTGAGCGAACAGTGGCGTCAGCATCAGCAGCAGGGGCAGAAGAGGCACCAGAAGTGAGGTCAAAGAGAGAGAGACCGTCTGCCCTGTCGCACTGTAGGAAAAGCTGCAGGTCATCTACCCAGACGTCAAAGTCAATGGCCCGACCCTCAGCGTCAAAAGCGAGGACACTGGGGGTAGCCATGACAGCAGTAGACTAGTAGCTGGAGCAGTAGGGTAAGGGCAGCGCAGTGGTAGAGGTGCCGCTCTTACCGGACAGGGCGGCTCGGGCGGCTCGGCGGCTCGGCGGCTCGGCAGCAACTGCAGCTCGGCGGCTCGGCGACTCGGCGGCTCGGGCGGCTCGGGCGGCTCGGCGGCACGGCGGCTCGGCAGCAACTGGAGCTCGGCGGCTCGGCGACTCGGCGGCTCGGGCGGCTCAGGTGGCTCGGCGGCTCGGGCGGCTCGGGTGGCTCGGGCGGCTCGGCAGCAGCGGCGGCTCGGTAGATCGGCGGCTCAGCGGCGCCGGCGGCTCGGTGGTGACGGCGGGGCCGCGTGGGGACAGCGGCGGGGCCAGGTGGGGCGGTGACGAGGCCGCTGAGGGCGGTGGCGGGGCCACGAAGGGTGGCGACCGGCGCCTTAAGGGTGGGGCCGCGGGGTCGCAAGGGTGGGGCGACGGGGCCAGCAGAGGCGGCGCCGGGGCCGGGAAGGGCGGCGCCGGGGCCGGGAAGGGCGGCGCCGGGGCCGGGAAGGGTGGTGCCGGGGCCGCAAGGGTAGGCGACGGGGCCGCGAGGGCGGCGTGGAGGGGTCGCGAGGGCGGCTCGAGGAGGCCGCGAGGGCGGCGCGAAAGGGCCGCGAGGGCGGCGCGACGCGACGGGACCGCGAAGGCGGCGCGACGGGGTCGCAAGGGCGACGCGACGGGGCCGCTAGGGAGGCGCGACGCGACGGGGCCGCTGAGGCGGCGCGACGGGGTCGTAAGGGCGGCGCGACGGGGCCGTGAGAGGGGAGCGCGACTCGGGCAGAGGCTGAGCGCGCTCCGGGCAGGATCAAAAAAGTTGGTGGGCCCTAGGAACATTTCCCACTGGGGAACCTGCTCTATACCATGTGAAAATGAACGAGGAATGAAAAGACTAAGGGAAAGTTGGGTACAAGTACAAACCCTAGAAAGCTGTACCCCATATGTGCTACCCCACTATAGCCTACAGCAGCTAAGTCATATAAATCTGACAGCATTTCGCCCAGTTCGTTCCATTTCGCCAGGGTGTTGAGGTGCTTCTAAAAAACACAGGTTGTAACTCGTTTGTTTTTTCCAAAACAGTGCTGGTGGGCCTGTGTTGTTGTCAGTTCAGGGTTTTGGGTTTATGCTTGTTTCTGGCCAAGAAACAAGAACCTATCGGGTCAGCATGGTTTGTTTTGCGCCTAAGATTCATACTTTGGCGTTTTCTCGCCCAAATGCAAGTTGATCCGCGTGCCTATAATCTGGGTGCAACTGAGTGGGAAAAAAAACACGGGTGCAGAGTTTCTGAAATGTGCAAGGCAAATTCGCGCGCAGTGGCTGGGCATCATATGTACTGTTATTTTGTAATCGCTTCAGCCACAATCTAAGAAATGATGCTGGCACTGTGTGTCTCTCACGAAATGTTGAGCGTCGCTCCCGTTTTGCCCGTGGGAGCGGCGAATCCGTGGCTCTCCCAGTGACGGGTTGACGGGTCAGCTACAATCAAAGAAATGATACAGTCGGCGCTCATTTCAAGAACACCAGGTAGGCGGGCGGCATGTGCGTGAAACGCGTTTCAGGCATTTCGCCACATTCGCCGTTGTCGCTACGGGCAAAAATGTGACTGTAATATGAAATTGCAATGTGAATCGAATCAAGGGCTTTAATTTAGTAACCAGGTAAACTTTTCAGATGACGGTAAAGGTACAGGTTATGGGGAAACCCCCTTGGTATTACCCCGGCTGTCGGTCGTAACCCGCCTACCCATTTGTTTACTCGCCTCGCTGGGTAACGAGGTTGTTGTATCCACTCCCAGATGAGCACCTGTGTAAGGTCGTGTCCGTAGGGATGACATGTCAAAGTGGGCAGTGTCAATTTGGCATTTTGACACTCAGCCAGCATTGTTGGCAGGGTGTCAAGAAATTGCAGGCTGCCAGCCAATAAAAATCGTCGAACACTTTTGAAATTGGCACAGTCAAACCTTCAAACGACAGAAGATTGTCGCAGGTGCCTATCTCACGACCAGATGTTGCCCAATCAGCACGCAACATGTCTTTTGAATCGTTCGCTGCCTAGCAGATCCACACCTGACAAAAATTCAAACCAATGAAATTGAGTCGCTGATGTTCGTACATGCGCTTCGACTTGACACTTCAGCTACAAAGCTTGACACTCTAATTCAAATGCGCTTCGGGTTGACACGCTCTCACTTGACATGTCAACCCTACGGACACGAACTAACCCCCTTCTGGACGCCTAGTGTAACTGCAACGGACCAAAGGACCTATCACATGCATTATAGTGACAATTTGACCAAAGGCGGTCAGTCAGGGTTTCAAACTTTAAATAATGGTACTGTCGTTTTCAAAACGGTTGGGACGGCTATTCAGCGTTAGCGGTTTTTTACTGCCCAAGGCTTGTTTCGTCACCTCGTGCGACTTTGCCCGCAAACGAGTTATCGCACCAGCCCGCTACGTCCAAACACTGTAGCCAGTGCGCGCGATGGTGAGGAGGGTGAGAACGAGGGTGCACCCCGAAATCGGCAGAATGGTCAATTTAGTCACTCACGGGCAAAACGTTCGCGAGTGACTAAATTTCTAATTGTGAGGAGCAATTTTTTTGTGATAGGCTGAGCATCGACTGTACTGCCACTGACGATATGGAAATCGTGTTAAATCGTAGGATGATAGCGCGAATGGCGGTGGCGGTGGCGGTGTGGATGGGGCTTGCGGGCGTGCTGGCGGGGCTGGTGGCGTGGAGGGTGCAGAAGGGCTTCGACGACAATCGCAAGGCGGAGCTCGACACCTGGTGCGCCGGTCGCGCGCGCGCAAGGCGGAGCTCGACACCTGGTGCGCCGGTCGCGCGCGCCCGCTGCAGCAGCAGTTCATGCAGACCGCTGACCATGTCAAGGTAGTCAGCCGACCACGTAGCACAAACCCCGGGTTTGGGCCAAACATGGATTTCAGACTTCGATTTCGTCGGGTACGCCGCAAATGCAAACAATTGTTGAGCCGCTCGCCGCCGTTGATGCGCGCTCTTTACGAAGTCGCTTTGAAAGGCGCGCGAGCCGCGCGAGCAAGATGGCGCGGAGCAAGTTGTAGAGCCGCTGTCGGGCCGCCTCACAGCGCTGCACTGCTGACCGCTGCACGCCACATGATTTTGGACTTCGATTGTCTAGTACGCTTCTTCTCCGCCACGCCGAGTTGTCGTTTCAAGCGACTTCAAGTTGACGCAAGCATCAATTTTCATAGTAACTCTGAAAACCGCTGCATCACCAAAATTGGTGGGGTTTGATGCAAGGCGGGGCAGGAAAGAAAAACACCAGGAGGGTTGTGTGGGAATGTGAAATTGAGAACGGAGTTGCAATTTCCAATCTGTGTGGAAATGCAGGTCAGGAAAGTGTGTGCGTGTGTGTGTGTGTGTGTGTGTGTGTGTGTGTGTGTGTGTGTGTGTGTTTGTGTGTGTGTGCTTGTTTATTTTTTTGTTTTTTTGTTTCCGAGCTTTAAGCGTTTTCGTACTTAGAACTTGGTGCATTGAGCATCGGCTCCACCCGTGCACGCAGCAGGACGTGAAGCGACCAGACGTGCTGGCAGCAGCAGCACTAGGCATGCTTGCCCCCTGCGTGACCCCCGCGTGATGTGTCCCCCCCAATGCATTCCCATGCTTGCATCAGCACAGGGGCTGGTGGGTGTGGTGGGGTGGCGGGAAGGGAAGGTACACCAAGGGCCCACTGTGGCAGGGGTGTTGCGGCGGGAAGCATGGTGCATTTCCACGGGCTGCGCTGCTGCGCACCTGCTTGCTTGCTCCAGCTGCTGCATGCATCCCCTGTGCCACTGCCACCATCACCCTGTGCTGTGCTTCCGGTTAGTCATTCCCACCCCTCCCCACACACCCAACTCCACTCCACAAGTCCAACCCACCAACCCACCCAAACCCACTCCCACCATGCATGCATCAGGCGATGGAAGGGCTGGTGATGGTGTTTGGGCGGCTGCAGGAGGACCCATGGGCGTCGCACGGCAACTTGACTCAGAGGCTCTTTGCCAACTACGTGCTCCGCACGCAGGCCGCCCGCCCCTGGGTGCACGCCATTGCCTATGCCGCCTTTGTTAATGGCTCCGACAGGTGCGCACTCGCCCCTCGCCCCCCTCCTCCGCCGGCCCCCGCCTCCGCCCTCACTGCTGCTGCTGCTGCTGCTGCTGCTGCTGCCTGCCACTGCTCCTCACTCTCGCCCTCGCACTTCCTTCATCTTCTTCCCACACGCCCCACCTCACCTCCCGCCCTCCCTCCCCTCCTGCTCTCACGTCTCTCGCCAGCTCTGTCTGTGCGTGTCCGCGCGTGCCGTAAGTTGGGAGATACGCGCACCGCATATGTCTGAGAATTCTCATTAATTGTATATTTGCGGATATTTGCCAACAGCTAGAACGAACCAGAGGATTGCATCGATGAGTCGAGCTGGTGAAAAGGCCGGCGTGTGGCCCGTCTCGTCTCGTCCATCTAGGCGAGCCGCCAGAGCAGGGTCGAGGCGGTACGGCCTGTCTTCGTCTGCCAGATCTGCACAGATCTAGCGTTTGGGTCGCGAGGTTCACATGGATGTGGATGACGTGGCATTTTGACTGCCAGATAAGCTTGGAGTGGCATTTCGACTGCCATATCCCTCGAAGAGCCATCAGCTCGAGAAGCCGGAAGCCGGCCCATCAATGCTAACAGATGAGCAGACGAGCCGGCCGCCAACTTGATTCGTGAGAAGTCGGCGGAGTGGGATCACTGGCTTGGCTTGATTTGACTTCAACTCAAAAGTCGACGAGCCGGGCTCCGGCTTGATTCGTGAGAAGTCGGCAAAAGGATCACCGGCTTGGCTCATCCTGTTGAGGAACCGAGCCGATGAGCAGAGCAGTCGGCCCGGGCCCGTGCACATGCACACCATAGGTAGCAGCTGCCCCTCTTCCCTAGGTTAGCTGAAGCATCAACTTATGTAAATGGCCCATCATTCCTTCATTTGGGTAAGAGGGTGACAGTGCATGCATGCATACAAACACAACCATACGTGGGTGTAGACGTGAGTGAAGAACTGAGTCACAGATTAACCAGTTCGGCTTGAACTGCACTGTGTCCTATCTTCGCGGAGCCGCAGCCGCAGGCGTCGAGTAACCCCCCTATAAATCCGCTCCCCTTGTGGCATATCCCGGCGTTTCCGGCACTGCAGGGCGGCCTTTGAGAGGCGGATGGGGTGCCGGCTGGTGGACGTGATGGGCAAGCCGGTCCCGCCCGCCCACTGGTACATGGACTTGCGCTTCTGGTTCGACGCGCAGTACCCCTTTGACCTGGTGCAGAGCGCCGCGGACTGCCCCGATGGCCGCACCCACCCGTCGTACGGCCCGCAGCTGACCCGCATGAAGGAGACTTTCGATAATATGCTCACCACGCCCTATGTGCTCTCCAATGGCCATCCAGGCATGGGTGAGTCTTGAGACGTCTTAAATGTCAAACCACGCCCTGTGTGCTCTCCTTTTGCTATGCAGGCATGGGTAACCGGCGGGCAAGGGTATGAGGAGTGGGCTCATCTCAATTTTTTGAGTCGACTGAAAAACCGCCTTATCACAGGTGTATGAGGAGTAGGTTCATCTCTAGTATGTTGACAATCACTTGTGTCTCTCCCTCCCTCACTCCTGCCCCTCCCTTTTTTTGTTGTCTTTGTTGTTTCTTTCTCAATGCTCCCTCTTCCCCTTCTCTCGAGTTCACCTGTTTGCGTTTGATTCTCCAATTCATGCGGACCCACTCTCGCTCCCCATTCCCCAGCCATGGTATTCCCGGTCTTCAAAGGCAACGTCACGACAGAGCTGGCCTGGGCAGAGAGGCACGCGGCGTTCATGGGTGTGATGGCGGCGTCAGTGGACTTCAATCGTCTGGCAGAATTCATCATTCTTGAAGTGCTCCGCCAAGGTGTTCCACCATCTGATCATCTTACCATGAGAAAGCTGCTCCTGCCTTGTGGAGAGGCGTTGGTACTGTTTCAGCAACTTTACTGCTAGTGTTTCCACTCAAAACAGCGTAATGAATCGGCACAAGAATTTTCACACATGAGACTCACAGGCGCCCACCTTGCTTCCTCCCTTGTGTTCTCCTTGTTCACCTTTCCTCCGCGTCAGGTACGCAGCTGTATGCCGTGCAAGGTGCCTGTGCGCAGCTGTATGCCGTGCAAGGTGCCTGTGCGCAGCTGTTTGCTGCTCCCCTCACACTCTTGCTGCGCCTGTGCCAACCAAACAGAGGGTTCCCTCCACTCCCATCACACCAATACGTAGACCACTATGTTGTAACCAAATAGAGCATTCCCCTTGTGCTGCTGCACTGCAGGCATCGAGTATTCTCTGGAGGTGTATGACGTCACCCCCACGGATATCCTCCCCAATTCCTCCACCCCGCTGGGCCCGCGCCTTCTGTACGGGGTGGGTGGCTTGGACGTGCCACAAGGCGACCCCATGCAAGTGGCCAAGATCATTCCGCCCTCCAATGAAACCATGCTGCAGCCACATTGACACAAGGCCGTGCAGCAAATCAACCTCACTGACTCCTCGCGCACCTACCAGCTCTGGTGCCGGTGAGTAGTTAGTTACTAGGGGTACGCTGCTCTTCCTTCATAACTGCTCGCCTTCCCCCTCCCCTTTCTCGCCCTCTCCCCTTGATGAAGGTCCCGCGACCCGATGCTGGTTCAATCAACTTTTAGACATCTTAAAGCCCGCCTCTGCCCACGTTGTGCTCAATGCCATGAACCTCCATTCCATGCCATCGGCGGCTCCTTCTGCCCCCAATGCGCCTCCCCTATCCCCCAGCTTTCAGGGCTCGGACGAGGCCCGCAGCATGACTGCTGTGTTCCTGGGGGTGATTATTGTGGTGGTGGCGGCGCTGCTGGCCGCTATCGGCGTGAGCGTGACAATCAACACGCGGAGGCTGCGCGAGAAGACGGCATCATTGGAGGTCCTCAAGGGGAAGGCGGAGGTGGCGGAGCGAAACAAGGGTGTGTTCATCGCCAACACCGCGCATGAGCTGCGCACCCCCATCTATGGCATGGAAGGTTCGTGGCAATGGGGTGCATGAGTGGCCCTGATCCCGTTGGTGTAGTAAGATCCATTCACGTCTTGAAGCAATTTCAGCTGATACGATCACAGCCAATCACTATACTCTGCTAATCTTACTTAATTCGCAAGAGTGTTCACATTCCAATCCGTCAAATTTCCACTCGCTGTGCCAACCACAACCACCCGGCAGGCATGCTCAAGCAGCTGGACGAAGGAGGGCTGGACGGGGGGCAGAGGGGGGACGTGGGGGCAGCAGTGGAGGAGGCGGAGCGCATCCTATTGCTTGTCAACGCGGTGCTGGATGTGTGCAAGGCGGAGGCGGGCCGCCTGCACCTGGAGAGCCTGCCCTTTGCCCTCCGCCCCTGGCTGCGTGACGTGCTGCTCCCACACGAGCAGGCTGCTCAGGAGCGCGGCCTCGAATGTAATCACTCTCACATACTGTTTTCTTTCTCACCCGTGTCTTGATTGCCTGTTTCTGCTTGCGTTTCTCTTCATGCAATTGGTTGATTCTTGCTTTTCTAATCAATTTTGGCCTGCTTTCTCTGTGTGTGCATGTGGGTGCGTGCGTGTTCAGTGACATGGCATGTGGATGGGGATGTGCCCGGTGTGCTGGTGGGGGACTACCTTCGCCTGCAGCAAGTGATGGACAGAATAGTCGGTGAGAAGATGACTCGAATCTAGTCACCCTGGACTAGATATGGGTGAGGTTGGATGGGCTTGGTAACACCTGAGCTAATGCCTCGCTTACTGCCTCATCGCAAGTCAGCTTCCATTCGCTAGTAGTGGGTGGAAGTGACGATGATTTCGCTCGAGTCTCTTTCGTCGGATCCCTGAAGTCTGCAATTTTCTCCTCCCGTTGCTATAAACGAACTCTCTGATCCCTCCCCCCCCCCTCCCCTCGCTCTCCCTCTCTCACATTTTGGACCCCATTATGTGCTTCTATTGATGCTTCCCCAGACAACGCCATAAAGTTCACGGCCAGCGGGGGCGTGTGTGTGCGGCTGCAGTGCCTTCCCCCCGACACCCACATCCCCACCCACCTGCTCTCCCTCGGCTGCCTCCTTGCCGAAGCCACTCCAGGCCGCTCCTCGCCTGCCGCTGCCGCTGCTACCAACCCTGATGCTGCCGCTGCTGATGCTGCCAGTGAGGCTGTGCATGGGAACGAAGTGGGAGAGCCGCTGTTTAAGATGCCGTTCTGGGAGCAGGTGGGGCAGCGAGGGCTGGCGAAGGCGGTGACAGGTGCATGCAATAAACGGGTGTTCCGGAGAGGCTTGTCTGCGCAGTGCCTTGGGTGCTACTGGCGCATGCCGCTCGTTCAGGAAGGGGGACAAGAGCGGGAGGAGAGTGAGGAGAGGGGGGAGAGAGAGGAGGGCACAGAAAGGGAGGAGGAGGAGGAGAGGGGAAGTGTTCGGGAACAGAGTGATGCGAATAGAGAAAGCGGGGAAGACAGGGGGGGTAAGAGGCTGGTATCGGGTGGTGAAGATGGAGAAGCAGCAGTGGGTGCTGTGGGGTGTGGAGTCAGAGGGGCACCCCTGATCCGTTTCCAGCATGGGGTGGAGAACGGTGGAGAGCGTCTGACGATGGTGGTGGGAGGCGGAAGCAGAGGCGAGAGGGTGTGCAGTGAGTTGAGTGAAGGCAAGGGTAGTGCTGCATCATGGGGTCCGGCAAATGACGAGCAGGGTGGGCGTGGGGGGATGGGGTCATGTGCTGGTGTGCATAGAACAAGAGCGCGTGGTGAGGACGCTGTGAGTGAAGCAGGGAGGACAGTACAAGGGGGCGGTGGTATGGGCTGGTGGAGGGGAGCAGTGGGGAGGTGGTGGCATGGGCAGGACAGAGAGGAGGGCACAGAGGAGGAGGGGGGGGGAGGCAGGCGGTGTGTGGTGCTGGTGACGTGTGAGGACATGGGGTGTGGCATCGCAGAGGAGGAGCAGTGCGACGTGTTTCAGGCGTTCATGCAGGTGAGCTCACAGCATGTGTGTTGGGCACTAAGGAGGTGAGCCCTGCCCCTCATGCAGGTGAGCCCTGCCCCTCATGCAGGTGAGCCCTGCCCCTCATGCAACCCACCTCATGCAACCGAGCCTCTCAAAATGAGGATTTGTTGGAGAAACGACAGGAACCTTTCAACGCAGAAGCACTTAAGAGGCACACAATCATGAGCCATGTTCTATGACCGCCATGTCATCCATGTTCTTATTGACAGCTTAGGGTCTTATTGACAGCTTAGGGTCTTATTGACAGCTAGGGTCTTATTGACAGCTTAGGGTCTTATTGACAGCTTAGGGTCTTATTGACAGCTTAGGGTCTTATTGACAGCTTAGGGTCTTATTGACAGCTTAGGGTCTTATTGACAGCTTAGGGTCTTATTGACAGCTTAGGGTCTTATTGACAGCTTAGGGTCTTATTGACAGCTTAGGGTCTTATTGACAGCTTAGGGTCTGATTGACAGCTTAGGGTCTTATTGACAGCTTAGGGTCTTATTGACAGCTTAGGGTCTTATTGACAGCTTAGGGTCTTATTGACAGCTAGGGTCTTATTGACAGCTTAGGGTCTTATTGACAGCTTAGGGTCTTATTGACAGCTTAGGGTCTTATTGACAGCTTAGGGTCTTATTGACAGCTTAGGGTCTTATTGACAGCTTAGGGTCTTATTGACAGCTTAGGGTCTTATTGACAGCTTAGGGTCTTATTGACAGCTTAGGGTCTTATTGACAGCTTAGGGTCTTATTGACAGCTTAGGGTCTTATTGACAGCTTAGGGTCTTATTGACAGCTGAGCCAAGTAACTTCTCGGACCTTCAGAACTCTCGTGTCCTCTTTTTATGACAACAGTCCCATTCATTAACACTCATCGACATTCGTTTTACACCCATCCACATTCATTCTCACTCACCCACAATCATTTACACTCATCCACATGAATTAACACACAATCGTTACACTTATCCACATGGATTAACATAAATCTACATATAATTACACTAATCCACATCCACAATAATTTGCACTCATCCACATTCAGTCATCTGCTGTCACTCCACCCCCCTCCCCTCCTCCCCGTGGCATGCCAGGTGTCGCTCATGGGCGGCAGCATTGGGTTGCTCAGCACAGAGGGTCACGGCACCACCCTGCACATCGCTCTGCCCATGCCTGTTGCTGCTGCCACTGCTGCCCCAGCTGTGTGGGGCTATGTGGAGAAAGACGCTTAGGGTCTTATTGACAGCTTAGGGTCTTATTGACAGCTTAGGGTCTTATTGACAGCTTAGGGTCTTATTGACAGCTTAGGGTCTTATTGACAGCTTAGGGTCTTATTGACAGCTTAGGGTCTTATTGACAGCTTAGGGTCTTATTGACAGCTAGGGTCTTATTGACAGCTTAGGGTCTTATTGACAGCTTAGGGTCTTATTGACAGCTTAGGGTCTTATTGACAGCTTAGGGTCTTATTGACAGCTTAGGGTCTTATTGACAGCTTAGGGTCTTATTGACAGCTTAGGGTCTTATTGACAGCTTAGGGTCTTATTGACAGCTTAGGGTCTTATTGACAGCTTAGGGTCTGATTGACAGCTTAGGGTCTTATTGACAGCTTAGGGTCTTATTGACAGCTTAGGGTCTTATTGACAGCTTAGGGTCTTATTGACAGCTAGGGTCTTATTGACAGCTTAGGGTCTTATTGACAGCTTAGGGTCTTATTGACAGCTTAGGGTCTTATTGACAGCTTAGGGTCTTATTGACAGCTTAGGGTCTTATTGACAGCTTAGGGTCTTATTGACAGCTTAGGGTCTTATTGACAGCTTAGGGTCTTATTGACAGCTTAGGGTCTTATTGACAGCTTAGGGTCTTATTGACAGCTTAGGGTCTTATTGACAGCTTAGGGTCTTATTGACAGCTGAGCCAAGTAACTTCTCGGACCTTCAGAACTCTCGTGTCCTCTTTTTATGACAACAGTCCCATTCATTAACACTCATCGACATTCGTTTTACACCCATCCACATTCATTCTCACTCACCCACAATCATTTACACTCATCCACATGAATTAACACACAATCGTTACACTTATCCACATGGATTAACATAAATCTACATATAATTACACTAATCCACATCCACAATAATTTGCACTCATCCACATTCAGTCATCTGCTGTCACTCCACCCCCCTCCCCTCCTCCCCGTGGCATGCCAGGTGTCGCTCATGGGCGGCAGCATTGGGTTGCTCAGCACAGAGGGTCACGGCACCACCCTGCACATCGCTCTGCCCATGCCTGTTGCTGCTGCCACTGCTGCCCCAGCTGTGTGGGGCTATGTGGAGAAAGACGCTTAGGGTCTTATTGACAGCTTAGGGTCTTATTGACAGCTTAGGGTCTTATTGACAGCTTAGGGTCTTATTGACAGCTTAGGGTCTTATTGACAGCTTAGGGTCTTATTGACAGCTTAGGGTCTTATTGACAGCTTAGGGTCTTATTGACAGCTAGGGTCTTATTGACAGCTTAGGGTCTTATTGACAGCTTAGGGTCTTATTGACAGCTTAGGGTCTTATTGACAGCTTAGGGTCTTATTGACAGCTTAGGGTCTTATTGACAGCTTAGGGTCTTATTGACAGCTTAGGGTCTTATTGACAGCTTAGGGTCTTATTGACAGCTTAGGGTCTTATTGACAGCTTAGGGTCTGATTGACAGCTTAGGGTCTTATTGACAGCTTAGGGTCTTATTGACAGCTTAGGGTCTTATTGACAGCTTAGGGTCTTATTGACAGCTAGGGTCTTATTGACAGCTTAGGGTCTTATTGACAGCTTAGGGTCTTATTGACAGCTTAGGGTCTTATTGACAGCTTAGGGTCTTATTGACAGCTTAGGGTCTTATTGACAGCTTAGGGTCTTATTGACAGCTTAGGGTCTTATTGACAGCTTAGGGTCTTATTGACAGCTTAGGGTCTTATTGACAGCTTAGGGTCTTATTGACAGCTTAGGGTCTTATTGACAGCTTAGGGTCTTATTGACAGCTGAGCCAAGTAACTTCTCGGACCTTCAGAACTCTCGTGTCCTCTTTTTATGACAACAGTCCCATTCATTAACACTCATCGACATTCGTTTTACACCCATCCACATTCATTCTCACTCACCCACAATCATTTACACTCATCCACATGAATTAACACACAATCGTTACACTTATCCACATGGATTAACATAAATCTACATATAATTACACTAATCCACATCCACAATAATTTGCACTCATCCACATTCAGTCATCTGCTGTCACTCCACCCCCCTCCCCTCCTCCCCGTGGCATGCCAGGTGTCGCTCATGGGCGGCAGCATTGGGTTGCTCAGCACAGAGGGTCACGGCACCACCCTGCACATCGCTCTGCCCATGCCTGTTGCTGCTGCCACTGCTGCCCCAGCTGTGTGGGGCTATGTGGAGAAAGACGCTTAGGGTCTTATTGACAGCTTAGGGTCTTATTGACAGCTTAGGGTCTTATTGACAGCTTAGGGTCTTATTGACAGCTTAGGGTCTTATTGACAGCTTAGGGTCTTATTGACAGCTTAGGGTCTTATTGACAGCTTAGGGTCTTATTGACAGCTTAGGGTCTTATTGACAGCTTAGGGTCTTATTGACAGCTTAGGGTCTTATTGACAGCTTAGGGTCTTATTGACAGCTTAGGGTCTTATTGACAGCTTAGGGTCTTATTGACAGCTTAGGGTCTTATTGACAGCTTAGGGTCTTATTGACAGCTTAGGGTCTTATTGACAGCTTAGGGTCTGATTGACAGCTTAGGGTCTTATTGACAGCTTAGGGTCTTATTGACAGCTTAGGGTCTTATTCACAGCTTAGGGTCTTATTGACAGCTAGGGTCTTATTGACAGCTTAGGGTCTTATTGACAGCTTAGGGTCTTATTGACAGCTTAGGGTCTTATTGACAGCTTAGGGTCTTATTGACAGCTTAGGGTCTTATTGACAGCTTAGGGTCTTATTGACAGCTTAGGGTCTTATTGACAGCTTAGGGTCTTATTGACAGCTTAGGGTCTTATTGACAGCTTAGGGTCTTATTGACAGCTTAGGGTCTTATTGACAGCTTAGGGTCTTATTGACAGCTGAGCCAAGTAACTTCTCGGACCTTCAGAACTCTCGTGTCCTCTTTTTATGACAACAGTCCCATTCATTAACACTCATCGACATTCGTTTTACACCCATCCACATTCATTCTCACTCACCCACAATCATTTACACTCATCCACATGAATTAACACACAATCGTTACACTTATCCACATGGATTAACATAAATCTACATATAATTACACTAATCCACATCCACAATAATTTGCACTCATCCACATTCAGTCATCTGCTGTCACTCCACCCCCCTCCCCTCCTCCCCGTGGCATGCCAGGTGTCGCTCATGGGCGGCAGCATTGGGTTGCTCAGCACAGAGGGTCACGGCACCACCCTGCACATCGCTCTGCCCATGCCTGTTGCTGCTGCCACTGCTGCCCCAGCTGTGTGGGGCTATGTGGAGAAAGACGCTTAGGGTCTTATTGACAGCTTAGGGTCTTATTGACAGCTTAGGGTCTTATTGACAGCTTAGGGTCTTATTGACAGCTTAGGGTCTTATTGACAGCTTAGGGTCTTATTGACAGCTTAGGGTCTTATTGACAGCTTAGGGTCTTATTGACAGCTAGGGTCTTATTGACAGCTTAGGGTCTTATTGACAGCTTAGGGTCTTATTGACAGCTTAGGGTCTTATTGACAGCTTAGGGTCTTATTGACAGCTTAGGGTCTTATTGACAGCTTAGGGTCTTATTGACAGCTTAGGGTCTTATTGACAGCTTAGGGTCTTATTGACAGCTTAGGGTCTTATTGACAGCTTAGGGTCTTATTGACAGCTTAGGGTCTTATTGACAGCTTAGGGTCTTATTGACAGCTTAGGGTCTTATTGACAGCTTAGGGTCTTATTGACAGCTAGGGTCTTATTGACAGCTTAGGGTCTTATTGACAGCTTAGGGTCTTATTGACAGCTTAGGGTCTTATTGACAGCTTAGGGTCTTATTGACAGCTTAGGGTCTTATTGACAGCTTAGGGTCTTATTGACAGCTTAGGGTCTTATTGACAGCTTAGAGTCTTATTGACAGCTTAGGGTCTTATTGACAGCTTAGGGTCTTATTGACAGCTTAGGGTCTTATTGACAGCTTAGGGTCTTATTGACAGCTGAGCCAAGTAACTTCTCGGACCTTCAGAACTCTCGTGTCCTCTTTTTATGACAACAGTCCCATTCATTAACACTCATCGACATTCGTTTTACACCCATCCACATTCATTCTCACTCACCCACAATCATTTACACTCATCCACATGAATTAACACACAATCGTTACACTTATCCACATGGATTAACATAAATCTACATATAATTACACTAATCCACATCCACAATAATTTGCACTCATCCACATTCAGTCATCTGCTGTCACTCCACCCCCCTCCCCTCCTCCCCGTGGCATGCCAGGTGTCGCTCATGGGCGGCAGCATTGGGTTGCTCAGCACAGAGGGTCACGGCACCACCCTGCACATCGCTCTGCCCATGCCTGTTGCTGCTGCCACTGCTGCCCCAGCTGTGTGGGGCTATGTGGAGAAAGACGCTTAGGGTCTTATTGACAGCTTAGGGTCTTATTGACAGCTTAGGGTCTTATTGACAGCTTAGGGTCTTATTGACAGCTTAGGGTCTTATTGACAGCTTAGGGTCTTATTGACAGCTTAGGGTCTTATTGACAGCTTAGGGTCTTATTGACAGCTAGGGTCTTATTGACAGCTTAGGGTCTTATTGACAGCTTAGGGTCTTATTGACAGCTTAGGGTCTTATTGACAGCTTAGGGTCTTATTGACAGCTTAGGGTCTTATTGACAGCTTAGGGTCTTATTGACAGCTTAGGGTCTTATTGACAGCTTAGGGTCTTATTGACAGCTTAGGGTCTTATTGACAGCTTAGGGTCTTATTGACAGCTTAGGGTCTTATTGACAGCTTAGGGTCTTATTGACAGCTGAGCCAAGTAACTTCTCGGACCTTCAGAACTCTCGTGTCCTCTTTTTATGACAACAGTCCCATTCATTAACACTCATCGACATTCGTTTTACACCCATCCACATTCATTCTCACTCACCCACAATCATTTACACTCATCCACATGAATTAACACACAATCGTTACACTTATCCACATGGATTAACATAAATCTACATATAATTACACTAATCCACATCCACAATAATTTGCACTCATCCACATTCAGTCATCTGCTGTCACTCCACCCCCCTCCCCTCCTCCCCGTGGCATGCCAGGTGTCGCTCATGGGCGGCAGCATTGGGTTGCTCAGCACAGAGGGTCACGGCACCACCCTGCACATCGCTCTGCCCATGCCTGTTGCTGCTGCCACTGCTGCCCCAGCTGTGTGGGGCTATGTGGAGAAAGACGCTGGGGCAGCCCTGCGTCCTGCGTCCGGACGCAGCGTCCGGACGCAAAGACGCAGGACGCGCGTCCGGACGCAGGACGCACCCTGGAAATTTTTTCGGGCAGACCGAGATTTTTTTTTTTTCGCGATCGCGAAATTGACATTCGCGATTTCGTCGCGAATGTCAATTTCGCCAAAATTCGACACCCCCCAAGCAAATTCGACCCCCAAAACCAGCCATCTAATTCACCCCTAACCCCCTCCCCTTTTTGCAAAATTGATTTGGAAATCCAACCCCTCTCCACCACTCCACAACTAGGAAACCCAACCTTTGTGGTCCACCACCCCCACAAAGCCCATTTAGTTCATGAAACCTCTCATTTGTGCTCCCTTTTCTCACAACCCAATTCTCTTTCAAAAACCCTAGTGGTTTTAGCTCCTTTCCGCGCACCACCGTTATGGCTAGCTCTAGCAATCCCTCGTCTTCTAGCGCATCGAAAGACGTCGTTCCCGACGGCGATACTCCCCCCAAGCGTTTCACTACGGAAGGCGTTGAGAAAAAGCCGCAAAACCCAAGTCACCATATTTATAGGTATTTTTGGACCTTCGACGATCCGAAGAAGAGGGGGAAGCAGTGCGAGTGTCTTTGGTGCGGGAAAGAGTTCGCCTTTAGTAGTAGCCGATGCACCCAGCATCTCGCCGAATGGAACGACGAGAACGTGCGGCGCGATGGCGGAATTGTTTGCGCGAAGGTTCCGAAGCGCGTTTCCGACTCCATTCGCGACGGGAAGGAGAGCAAGATTACGGCGCGCAAGGAAAAAGAGAGGGCGACCGATGCAGCACTCAACGCAGTGAGCGGCGTAGGCGGTGCGGGACCGAAGGCTAAGAAGGGGCGGATGGAGGATTGGTATGGTGAGGGGGGGAAGACGGCGACGCGTGCGGCCGACGAGGCAATTTGCCTCTACATCGCGGGGACGCGCACGGCGGAACGTCAGTGCGAGCACCCGCTCTTCCTCAACATGCTGCGCGCCGTTGCTGCCGCTGGAAGCAGCTACGTCTCTCCCAAGCGTGACTTCGTCGGCGGCGTCGGGCTGCAGGAGTGCAAGAGGCGGATTGAAAAGGGGTTGGAGCCCATTACGAAAACCTGGACGGAGACCGGCGTGACGATTGCCAGCGACATGATGCGGGACAAGAGCGGGCGCGCGCAGATGAACATCATTTGTATCAACGACAACGGCGCGGTGTTCCAGGAGGCGGTCGACTGCAAGGCGGAGACTAAGAGTGGGGCTTTCATCGTGAGCGTCCTGCAGCCGATCATCGAGAAGATTGGGCCGCAGCACGTCGTCGCTTTTTGCTCGGACGGCGGCAGCAACTACGTGTCCGCCGGCAAGAAGCTGCAGGAGATCTACCCGCATCTCGAGTTCGTTCCCTGCGCCACTCACGTGCTCGACCTGCTGATTGAGGACATCGGCGGGATGGACTGGGCGCAGGAGGTCGTCCCTGTTGCGAACGACATCATCTCCTTCGTGCGCAGCCACACGTGGACGCGCGCCTTCCTGCGGTGTCCCGAGCTGCACGGCGAGGAGAAGTCGCTGCAGGCGCTGCGCCCGGCGGGCACGCGCTTTGGGACGAACTTCATCGCTGTGTCGCGGCTGCTCAAGATCCGTCAGCATCTGACGCAGATGGTGACGCACAAGGATTGGGAGGAGAAGGGAGGTAGCACGCAGACTGGAAAGACATTTGCGGCGTCGGTGTTGGATGTGGGGTGGTGGAACAAGGCGGAGACATTCGTGAAGGTGATGGAGCTGCCCTACAAGGTGATGAGGCGGACTGATGGGGAGGCGAAGGGGAGGATGGGTGAGATGTACGACATCATGCTGCAGCTGACGGAGGACTTGCAGAAGCTGTTGGAGAAGGATGATTGTGGGCTCAAGAGGGCGGATAAGGAGGGGGTGAAGGAGCACCTGAGGCGGCGTTGGGATGAGAACTTGGCCTGCCCCCTTCACGTGGTTGGCCGGATTCTGAACCCGGCCAACCAGGAGGAGGGGATCTACCACAAGGACGTCGAGTGCACCAGGGTGATGAAGGCGTGGCTCCAGCGCTCGAAGGCATTCGTCGACAAGTATTGGAAGAGCGGCGGCGACACTAAGGGGACGATGAAGGCGCTGCAGGAGGGGATGCTTGCGTTCATTGAGGGGAAGGGGTGCTTTGGGTCTGAGGATGCAATAGAGGGGCGGGCGGAGATTAAGGCCGGGAAGGGGGACATGGTGACGTGGTGGAAGGTGAACGGCTGGGAGTACCAGGAGCTGGCTGGCCTTGCGTGCCGGGCGCTCTCACAGCCCGTCTCCGCTTCACCATGCGAGCGCGGATGGTCCACGTGGGATGGCGTGCACACGGCGCGCAGGAACAGGTTGGGTTCGGAGAAGGTCCGCGACCTTGTGTTCGTTGCGCACAACTGGAACGTTGTGCACAACCACCACAAGGGTGCGGCGGGTGCGGGGCCGAGTGGGGAAGTCAGGAAGGCGGGAATAGTGGAGGGGAACATTCCCCCCCGACCCCTTCCCGAGGGGTACAAGCTTGAGGAGGATGGAGAGGTGGAGGTGGATGAGGATGACCTCACCTTCGACGAGTACAAGGAGCAGGAGGATTTGGAGAAGGAGGAGGAGAAGGGGATGGAGAGCGAGGAGGATGAGTGATGCATGTTAGTTAGTGGTGCGAGTTATGGAAATTTGGGGCTCACCTTCATGTTCTATTGTTGTGGCTGAAATTTTGTTGTTGAGGAGAAATTTTGCTATGAAAGTGTGTTCCCACCCCCCCCCCCCCCCCCCCCTCTTACCCCCTCTTCCCTCTGCCCTATAACTTTTTTTTGCTGCCTGGGGGGTTTTTTTTGGCTGCCCGGACCTGCGTCTTTTGCTGCGTCTCGGGGGCCCTAAACTAGCGTCCAGCGTCTGGACGCATGCGTCCAGGACGCTGGACGCGTCTTTCTCCACATAGGTGTGGGGTGACTCCTCTTCGGCCAGCGCAGATCTTTCTGGGCCGGTGGCGGCTTGTGCTGCGTCTTCCTCTGCTGCTGTGAGGGATGACACAGCTGTCCCACAGGCAGTGGAGACAACGAGTGTGAAGGATAGATTGGAGGATTTGCTGCAAGGCAAGGCGATTCTGGTGAGAAGTAGGACGTCGGGATTTGAGGGAACAGTTTAGACCGACCGGAATCTCGTGTGTGTTGTGGACGACAAAGTGATCAGAGCATGCCTTCTCTGTTTCCGTCTCTTATATGTTATGTTATCACCTCGCTCTGCCTGTACAGCTGGTGGACGACAACCTGCTCAACCGCTTTGTACCCCCTTGTACCTCTCAACCCCCCTGTACCCCCCTATATCCACCAGGTGGTGGACGACAACTCGATCAACCAGCGGGGGGCATGCCATTTCCGTCCTTCCGTTCTCATCCAATTCGGGGCTCTATCGGATTTACCCCCTGTGCTGTGCAGGTGTTGGACGACAGCGCCATCAGCCGTTCTCAGCCCCTCTGCACCCCTCCCTGTGCCCTCTCTATGCACCAGGTGGTGGACGACAACTTGATCAACCGTCTCTCATATGTTCTCTCTCTGTCAATCCTCCCTCTCTATCCATCCACCAGGAGGTGGACGACAATTTGATGAACCGCCCCTCCGCTGTCACCCCCTCACAAACCTCAAATCCTCCCTGCCTCTATGCAACAGGTGGTGGACAACATCGCCATCAACCGCAGGCCATCTCTGTCCATCCATGCTCATCCCCTCTCTCACACCCGTCCCTGTACCCCCTGTGCCCCCAGGTGGTGGATGACAACGTGATCAACCGGCGGGTGGCAGCAGCGGGTAACGCCATTTTCATTCATTCATTTCACCCCCCCTGTGCTGCACCAGGTGGTGGACGACAATCCGATCAACCGGCGGGTGGCAGCGAGCACGCTGGCGCGGTACGGGGCGGAGGTGGCGCTGGCAGAGTCGGGCGAGGCGGCGCTGCGCCTGCTGCAGGCAACCCACTCCTTCCGCCTCGTGCTCATGGACCTCCTCATGCCCGGCCTTGATGGCTTTCAAACTACTGCCCGCCTGCGCGCCTTTGAGTCCCAAGCCCACACTGCCCAAGGGGGGGTACAGGGGGGGCAGGGAGCAGAGGAGTCGCAGTGCATTCCAGAGGTGGGGGAGAATGCGGCAGAGGGTAGTGAAGGGGGCTGGCAGTGTCAGCAGCGCGTTCATGTGGTGGCCATGTCAGCAGATGTGGACGGCAGTGTTGCAGCCCGTGCTACAGAGGCTGGCATGGATGGTGCCGTGCAAAAGCCACTCAATGAGAGAGTGCTGCTGCAGGTGCTTTCAACACTGAATGGTTTGTAAGTCTCCAGTCATGTAGTTTGTGTCACTAACCTGGCTTGCATATGTACCAGGGCCCTAGATATCAGACTTTGGAGTCCGATTCAGAGTCCGTTCAGACTTTTTTTTTTTACCTAGTCTGAACTCAAAGATTTTTTTTATGCACCCTGTCTGATTTTTCAGAGTTTTTTTAACTGACTAGTCTGAAATTTCAGAGTAGTCATAGTAGTGCATGCTGAGCCTCAGACTTGTATCGGGGATCCACTCTGAAACCAGTTATACAGGGGTTTCTGCCAGCCTGAATGAAAGGTTATCGGAACGAAACTTCCTCGAAACTTCTTTTCCTCCGGATGAAACTGCTCGAGTAGGGGCACCAGAATACACTACTTTGTCGACGCTATCACGAGAGTTGAATTTATTGGGGGCTTATAAAAACCCTTAAATTGTGAAACTAGATAGCCAATCGCACATGGCCAAAACGATTTTAGCGAATCGCACATGGCGAAAAGTGAATTGGTGCAAATGAAAGCCTTGTCACATATGAGTCTCGTACTTCAGCAGAACCGCACATCATTTCCCCTTGCCAAACCGAGTCAAAATTTCGAAGCTGCAACTGTAGGAGAAAATATTCCGCGCACATACGGTGTACACAGTTGAAAACTCTTGCTGCTGCCAGTGCGCCCAGCACAGAAAAGTGCCGAGCTGCCAGGTCAGATGATTGTGAGCTTGCCACACTTGGCACTTGCACGAGGCCATTGTCTGATGCCCGCACCTCGACCCTGACTGCTCAGTGTTCCTAAGGGCGCGTAACCATTTTGCATTTTTTGATTTTGACGTACCGTCCGATTATATGGAATCGGACTGTACGTTTATAACGAAACGGACTGTCCGATTTGAATGTTTGCAACTTCGGACTGTCCGAAGGCAGATGTGACACTTTTTCCACATGCTAGGGTTTCGCGATGGTTTTCCCTTCGCCATCTCAAATGTACACCAGTAACGCCAGTCACAACCCATCGCAATTTTCGCCAGTTGAGTTCAGCGCTTCGGACAAACATAGGAAATGTCAAACAAGCACAAAGGCCGTCCAAACCAAGCCCATTCAATGTCAGAAGGACCAGGTATCTGGGACTCTTGTGTTTCGGGAACAGCTGTGGCAGGAGTGGTAGTATTGGTAGAGCCCGGTGGCGGGGAGTTGGGAGTGGTGTTGTCAGACTGGGTGTTCTGGGCGTAGCTAGAGGGATCCATTGTGCAGAGAAGTGAGTAGTGATGAGTAGTGGGTCAATGTCGTGGCTTCTTGTATTGTAGTATGGCTAGTTGTGATTGGTCAATGTCAATCTTTGCATCCGAGTCGCATTTTTTCATGTTTTGGTGAGGCGGTCCGCTGAAATTCAATTTCGCCCGCCAATCGCGTGCGCGGACAGGCGGACAGTCCGTTTGTGATTCGGACAGTCCGATGTCAGAGTTTCGTGTCGTTGGAAAGCGGAAAAAGTGTCATGACAGTTCGAATTTTTAGCGACGTCGCAAACGTCCTCGCGAAGAACTGAACGACATTAAACGAAAATGGTAATCGTTCGCCACGACGGACGGTCCACGGTTCGTTCCGTCGGGTGCAAAATGGTTACGCGCCCTAAGGGCGGGTCAAAAGAGTACGTCCGATTGCGGTTCAAAGAGGTTTAGGCTTGATCCAGAGCGGTCTTATTTAAACACGAGATGGTTGAGTGGGGTTTTCTGCGAAAACGTGCAAAGTTTGACCCGCCCTAACTCTTGAAAAATGACCAATCAGAGTGCCCCATTTCTGGCCGCACAATTGCGTTGGTATGCTGTAATCAGCTTCAATGCTATTATAACTATGCTGTTATGAAACTGCATGAACATCTTAAAATTTGAAGTAACTCTGACAGTTCAGACAAAAAAAGTTGTGCTTGTCTGAATTTTCAGACTAAAAAAAATATGTAACTCTGACAGCCAGCCTAGGAAGAGGGGTGTACTCTTGTCAGAATCCCAACCACTAGACCATTGGGATAAAAGGGCTTGTTTCAGTAGCGGGTCAGTGCGCCCATAACCCCCCAGGCAAACGCGCCTGTAACCCCCCCTAGGATCGATCGGGGATCTCACAGTGTAGCTCTACTGACACCCCCCCACACTGGGAGGCCCAGGACTGAGCACAGTGGCAACGGCCAACATGTGCATACACCGGGATACGAACCCGAGACCGCTCTGATACCATGTCAGAATCCCAACCACTAGACCATTGGGATAAAAGGGCTTGTTTCAATAGCGGGTCAGTGCGCCCATAACCCCCCAGGCAAACGCGCCTGTAACCCCCCCTAGGATCGATCGGGGATCTCACAGTGTAGCTCTACTGACAACTCTGAGGCGTCAGACTACCTCAAAACGAATCTAGGGGCCTGCGTCAGACTACCTCAAAACGAATCTAGGGGCCTGATATGTACGGTTTTTTAATGTCTAATTTATTCATTTGTTTATATCTTATGGTTTCTATGGAGGGCACGAGGCGTACAACAATACCCCGCATACCGGTATAAGTGCACCGGTGCTTCTAGTATAGCACTTTTATTTATGGGGGTGCACTTTTGATCGAGTGCAAATTTAAATGCGCATGTGTTTTTATTAAATATCAAATGTTATTTATTCCGGGTTTTGTAAGCAATTTTTCCGCATTCCTTATTGCACATCTCAACAACGCGTACAGGACCAACTGTTTCTACGCCCATTATTGATAACGGCGTTTCGTCACCTTTACGCGCCTCTTTTGCCAAACCATGCATCGCTGGCCAGGCCCGAATCGGCCTAAGGTCACGGTTCCAGGCAAAGTTTGGACACTATCAAGGGCCTCAGATATCAGGAAAAAAACCCTGAAATTCCTGATTTTGGCAGTCCTTTTTTTACCTACACTGGAAATTCAGTGTTGAGATTTCTGTGGGACTGATCTTTCAGCCGTTTTTGTTAGGCCACACTGAAATTTCAAATTTTTTTTTTCCCAAGTACACTGATTCCACAGGGTTGTAATGAACACTGAAAGCAATTCAGATTCTTACATGTTCCGTGTGGATTTGCCCGCAATTACAAGGATTCTCAGATTACTGTGGTGCCAGCACTCCATTGGGCACTTGCTAATCAGAATGTGGCAACCATGTGGAGATGGAGGGCTGCAAGGGTTCCTACACCGTTGGCTGTGCTGGCAAGCACTGATGCTCCCATTCCCTCCAATACAATCTCTCTTGTTTCTTTTCCTCATGTTTCTCTCTCCCAAAACGGCCCTTAGTGACGTGTAAACGCACCCAATCATTGGTCACCACACAAGTTTTCAGATATCTTGGAGCATGGAAGCCAATGAGACGTGTACATTGCTACCAAAGTGTTCAAACTTCGAATGGTGTCCAAACTTCAGAACCGGGATCTAAAACTTTCCTTATGGACCACGCATTTCCGCAACCAGCAAAACCCCACTTTTAATTTATTTTCACTCGAAGAGACTCACGCCCCTTAGCGTAATAGGAGCCACTGTCCTCGTGCTCTTTCGCAAGCGCATGCAGCCACGACTGCACCTAGCACCTAAACCGGCCGACGCCCTTCGACATGGGAGACCGCATTGAACCTCATGCAGGAGCGCCGGACATGTGGCACGCGAGGCTTGCGCACGTCGACGTCGACGCGATAAAGAGCTCGGCGAAGCACGAGGTTGTTGCCGGCCTGGACATCAAGCCATCTGTCAGCGCCGACCTGCCGTGTGTCTCCTACGTCAGCGGCAAGCTGGCGCGGCAAACCTTCCCCGAGAAAGGCTCGGATGCCGAGGAAGTTCTGGCCGCCGAGCACATCGACTTGTGTGGGACGTTTCGGGTGGCCGCCAAGGATGGCAGCCTCTAATTCCTTCTGCTGAAGACCACAAAATATGCTACGTGTGGGTGAGGCTGGTTGCCAAGAAGAGTGACGTGCTGCTGGTGTTCTAGAAATGGCTGTCGGTGGTGGAGCGGCTTAACAAGAAGTCGGTGTTCATGCTCCCCTCTGCGGTGGTGAGTTTCTTAAAAAGGCTTTCACAAACTTCGTCAACGGAATAACGATCCTTCACGACCTGTCCTGACCGTACACTCCGCTGCAGAACGACATGGTGGAGTGGAGATGCGTACGATCGTTGAGGCCGTGCGGACGATGCTGCTTCACATGGGCGTGAAGCATGACTGATGGCACCTCGCCCTGCAACAGGCCATCTAGGTGCGCAACCAGGGATGACGCCGCACCAATTGCTGACCGACAAGAAGCCCGCCCTCACCCTGGCTCACGTATGGGGCTGCATGGTGCAGCTCATGGTGCCCGAGCAGTAGCGCGGTGGGAAGCTGACACTGAACGCCCGGTGGGGTCTCCACCTCAGTATGTCGCTGGCGAGCAAGGACTGGGAGGTGCTCGACTTGACAGACAACAAGGTGGTTACCACGGTTGAGGTGATCTTCTACGAGACTCTGTACAACGGTAGTGAGCTAGACTACGGGGGTTGGCACGAACTACTAGGACTGATCGTAGCTTTGCCTTATTCCTTGGTGCTTGCATAATCACAGGAGAAATCGGCAAGAGTTTCCACTAGCAAAGTCGAAAATTAGTTGAACAAGCAATGACAACAATGACTACATCAGGCACCTAGCAACCCTGCAGCTAGCCTGGTCGACCGCCACCACAGCTTGGTCGACCGCCTGCCAGCGTTGCGTAGAGGAGCCGCGCCAGCACTGCAGCACGGCGACCTTCCAACAGTGCAGGTCGACGGAGTGCCAGCGCTGCAGCAATGCGGCTGTCCAGCGTTGCACCCGTAGATGGCAGCAGTGCGCACGCTCGCAGGTGCGCGCAAACGAGTGGCCCGACTTGCATCGTTGTGCATCCATCGGCTGTTGTCTGCGCCTGACGAGCCACATCGACTTCGTGATACCAGCCCGAAGTCGCCTTCGCCATCGCGACCTCGACGACATTCGCATGTCTCCGCAGAACTTGTCGAGCAGGTTACCCGGTCGACC